TACTACAAGGCTCTTCTTGGGTAACGGCACTGCAATTGTGGGAGCAGATTGGAGGGGCTCTAAGCAGGAGTGGGTCCCTGCTGTCCCCCACTCCCCAAGGGCTTCATTCATTCACTCATTCATTCATTCGTTTATCAAAAAAGCAGTAGAACCCAGCAGAGAACTCAGACTCGGGAATCAGACTGCAGGACTGAAGTCCTGGCTGTGTGACCTGGGCAACCAACTTCACCTCTCTGGGCCTCAGTCTTCCCACCTGTGACATGGGAATAATAACAGTGCCCACCTCGTAGGGTGGTGAGTCCAGTGCTTGGAGCGGTGCCTGGCACATAACAGGCGCTCGTTAATTGTGAGCAATCATTATTGTCATGGAGCTCAGGAGACTGTGGAAGAGACGCTGGTCAGGGGCCATCAAGGAAGGCTCCCAGGAGGAGGGGGCATCTAAGCCAGAATGAGAGGGAGTTAACAAGGCAAGCAAGGGGTGGAAGGGTGTTATAGGCAGAGGGAATAGTAGCAAAAAAACCCGCATAGTTTACTTTTCTTCCTGCGCTGGAGCTCAGACCTCCTCCTTAATCCCCCATGGCCCAGGGGACACAGGCTATGGCTAAGGAGACCCAGCTTCCAGTCCAGGGAGCAGCTGACTTGGAAATTCACCCCTGCCTACTCCCCAAGATTTCCAAGCCTGACCCAATCTTACGTGGTTGTTGCCCATCACAGGGCAGCTTAATGCACTTCCTAGGCACACCCAGCAGGATCTCAGGAACAGGCCCAGATCCTGTCACACCCAGAGAGGTTAAGTGACTTGGTCAGAGCCACACAGCCTCCGGGACTGAGTGTTGGTATTCAATTCTCCCTGTGTTCTTGGGCGGGAGCTGATCTGGGCTAAGGAAGGGCCGCTCCCCACTGAGCCAGACAGAGGCCATTGTGTGTTGGGAAACACAAATCCGGCCCCTCTGGGTGGATGTGGGGTCGGAGGAGGAGAGGGGCAGCGGGGGATGGCCTCCCTGCCCCCATCACCTCGGGGCTCCCAGCCCAGCCACATCTGGATCCCAGCTGGCAGCTCCGGGCAGAGGGGGAGCAGTGGCCGCAGGAACTTGCCATCAAAGGCAAGGAGCAGCCTGGTGGCCAGGAGACAAAGGCCAGGGCCGCCTCCAACCCCAGGCGCCAGGGAGGGTGCTGGTGCGGTGAGTGTGGCATTGCCTCCGGACCCACCCCATCCTCAGCCACTCTGCAGGGGGATGGGAAACTGTAGCCTCCGCTGGGAGCCCCCCACTGCCCACGCCTCCTTGGGGGCTCCCCTGTGGCCGCCACGCAAGGAACCTGGCTTGTGGCCACAAGTCAGGGCGGCTGCTCAGCCTTGGGGACACACAGCCTTGGGGACATGAGTCAAGGCCCCACCCCCCTGGGACACCCCTCTCGCCTCCCTTCCCCACTTGATTCAGCCCCTGAAGCCCCAATGATGTGTCTCCCCCAGAAAGTTGCCCCACCCCATGGAACAGCACAGGGGAAGTGCCCTTCAGAAAAGCAGCAAGACTCAGGCTGGATAATGTTTATTGTGCCGGTTTGTTACAGCTCAGCACCCGGAAAGTTGTGCAGAGGTTGGGGGGACCCCAGATGGAGGGATGGGGAAGAGGACCCCCCAGAGCCCCCCAAATCAGGACGGAGCTCAGGCTCCCTGGTCGAGGACTAAAGAAGGCTGTGGACATAGGCTGCCAGACACCGAGTGTGAGCAGAGGGTGGGGCTGGGGGAGGGGGGGTCCTGGGTGCCCTGCTCCAGGCCAGGCGTCAGAGACCCTCCATCCCCCAAACTCCCCCAGAGTGAGGTCACCTCACTCAGAGCCCGGGGCTTCTAGGCTGCTTTGGGAGCCTAACAAAAAGGTTTGGTTCATTCACCCCATCCCCACGGCAGTAGCGGGCCGAGCCCCCACATCCCACACCCCAGACCAACCAGACGCTGCGGGGCACCTTCCGGAACACTGAGAGCAATAATTTCCAGAGTGCGCCCTGCAGCAGTTTCCACTGTAGCTGCTAAAAAATAATAATAATAATAATAATAACGAGAGTACTCCCTGGTCAAAAGCAGTTTTGGGAAAGGCTGTGAAACCAGAAACCAGATTCCCCGGGGCCTTAACTGCAGGACTTGTCAGAGGCCTGGGGTGGTCTAAGAGGGTCGGGGGAGTCATGAGGCAGCGTTTCCTCAATTCATTGGACACCAGCATCATTTTTCCACGGGGTACCTCAGGGAACCCAGTTTGGGAAATGCTCATTTTCATACCTGTCAGGGTACCTCAGGGAACCCAGTTTGGGAAATGCTCATTTTCGTACCTGTCAGGGTACCACAGGGAACCCAGTTTGGGAAATACTTATTTTTGTACCTGTCAGGGTACCTCAGGGAACCCAGTATGGGAAATACTTATTTTTGTACCTGTCAGGGTACCACAGGGAACCCAGTTTGGGAAATGGTCATTTTCGTACCTGCCAAGAGGTGAGCAGGTGAGGGGCCCACTTCTGCCGTAGCACTAGCCACACCCGCCCCGGCCACTTCCACGTCTCCCGGTTAAAATCTTCCAAAACTCCTAGCTGATGGGTTTACGTTTCTACCTCGATGGTGATGCCGGCCCTGTCACAGGGGACGCGCCAATTGTGTTTCCTAATCGACGTGGTTGTAAGGGGGACACATCCCCAGCCCCGCCTCCCCACAGGAGCTGTGCTTGGGATGTAGCCCTTCGGGGCTGCAGAGGCAGATGTTCTAGAACTTGGTGAGGTTCCCGGGTGGAGCGGACACCAGTGTCTGTTCGCTGTAGGAGGGGACACGCTGGGATTTGCAGCTGGGGGTGGCCCAGGAGGGGACCACTAGGGGTCAGACAGTCAGGGCCACAGCCCTGGGGGCCTGTTAGACGCTAGGGGTGACACTGCCACAAGCACAGGGGCTTTGAGGGGGGCCAGCTGGGTCCCCGCCTTCCTGGGCTAATGAGGGAGCCGCTTCTGGCTCCCCTGGGCCTTCTAGGGCCCCCAGGACCCCCTCTGCCAGCCCTGAGCATGGCCCCTCTGTCACCCCGGGCTTCTCCATGGGGACCCCGCACCCCGGGGCATCCCGGTCCTCCTCCTGGCCGCCTGGCTGCTCTCCCTCTGACTTGCCCTCCGTCATCCTGGCTCCATCTCCACCGCTCGGGGCCGCCCTGGTGGGAGACCTGAGGTTCTGGGTGGCGGCGAGGATGTCGGCCTGGAGCTGCTGGGAGGAATCCAGGGCCTCCTCGGGCCGGCCGTCGGGGGCCCTGTCGGGGACCTCGCTGAAGGCCTGGGGGCCCCCGGCCCGGTCGCTCTGGTCCACGTACTTCTTCTTGGGGAAAGACGAGGGGTAGTAGGCGGAGGCCTTGTGCTTCTGGCGGGTGATGACGGCGGCGCAGACGACGAACATGACCAGGAGGACCAGCGAGCCCACCACGGCGATGAGCATCACGTACTCGTGGAAGAAGTCCACGATGCCGTCCAGGAAGTTGGTGGGGCCGGGGTCCGGGGCGGCGGGAGGCTCGGGGAGGAGGCCGAGGAGTCATCGGCCTCCCCGCTGCCCCCCATGTCCTCCAGGAAGGAGACCTGCACGGGCACGGAGTGGGCCACGGCGGGCAGGACCCTCACGAGCAGCAGCAGCGACACGACGAGGCGGGGGGCCATGGCAGAGACCATGCTGCCCGGGACCTGTGGGGGAGCGAGGCAGGGAGAGGTCAGGGGGGAAGTCAGGATCTTAGGGGACCCCGAGGAGGTTCAGGAAATACGAAGTCACTTCCTTCCTCAGGTCTGAGCCTCCGCGTGGTACAAAGGACCCC